TCCTTTTGGTTTTGTGGCCTGGTCTTACCTGTATTTCCCTTCTCTCCCTATCACTTCTCAGCATAACCGTATGTTGATACTCTGTTTCAGAAATACTCCCCTGTAATTAATTATGCATAAAAACCTGACAGAAACCATGTAGAGATGTGAGCATCCATAGTCTGTCACTAGGGTGTGTGACAAGTGGTATATCTGACAGAGCAATAGGTATTCAATGTGACATATTTCTGCTTTTTCTCTTCAAAACAGCTGTTTTGCTTAAAATCTAATATTTAATTAAAATTTTTAGTACCTCTGTCAGCTGAGAATTGCAGCTAGAATTTGTATCAGATACACCGAGGTAAGAACTTAAGAAACACACTAGCTTCAGTACTCTTCAGGTTTTTAGGTTAATAGTGTAACTTTCTGAAAAAATCACATGAATGTACTCTTAAGGTTTTTAAACTTTTTTTTTTCCAGGAGTGCATAGAATAAAACATGTTCTGATACTTGTTTCTGTGATACAGTCAATAACTGGGGGGGAAAAAAAAACACAAAACTTTTTAGGATTTTAAAAAAATATTTGTTATGAATCCACTTTCAATATCTCGGACTACAAAGCCTGTAATCCTCAAGGAAGAGTTGCATTTGGTAGAACTTTCAAATAAACAACTTGTTGCCTATGAAAATACTAGTATTTATGATCAGCTCACTTAAATACAAGGACATAGATATCAATCTGCTGATGGTGTGAAAAGAATAATATAGAAGTGCTAGAATAATGCTATCCTTTACCACTCTGCATTAAGTAAATCCTGTCGGTGTGCACTTTGAAATTAATCCTGTATTGCATTCCAAAATCTCAATTATCTTAGTCTTTTTGGAATTGGTGATACGAGTCAGACCAAGTAGATGGTTCGTTTGTTGTTAATGATGAAATAAATTTAAAAGCTAAAACATTTTAGAAAATGGCCTGAGGGACTTCCAGAAAGAATATTTGCCTTGAAGAGGTCCAGTTTATTTCTGTGATCTCAATATATTTCTAGCCTGTTTTGCAACTCTTTTCTTCCTTCTTTGTGGAAGATTGTATAAACCTGATGGCAAAAACTGTTAAAATCCAAATTTGTAAAATTAAAGAACACTGATATTTTTCTGTTTTGTAGTCAGTTTTATCTAGTATCAAAAATAAAAATACCTAAATGTAATTTAAGCTATTCTTAAAAGTAGGTAAATCTAATGCTTAGTGCCTGACGTATTACTTGAAGTTGAGTGTTCCATGAACTTCCTTGAAAATGGGGCCTGCTACCTGCTGGTGACTAACACTAACTTTAAATGCTGACACTTAATACTTCCCATGAACTGTGATGTTATCCCTGCAGAACAATTTTACTTTATGGCCTTGGTCTTTGGCCCTAATTATTTTTTTTATTGCAATGTGGGAGATGGAGAAGGCTGCCACAAACCATTTTTGTTTGTTCCAGAGAAAGATGTTTACAAATTTGTATGTATTTTTAGAAATTTATTGTAACACTTTTTAACTTGAGAGGAGTTTCCACGTAAACTTGAAACCTGTTGTCCTAATGAGGTGAATACAGACTTTTGAATAATATGGAGTGCTATCTAAGCTTCCAGAAGCTGTTGATTGTGATGCTGCTCACTTATACCACAGGAGGGAGTTAAACATCAGTCTTTTAAGTATTTTCAGTTAGGGCATCGTTTTTTCTTAGTACAGTGCATTTCAGGTTATAAGTATGCCGACTTTGTCTTACGGTTTGTCACTGCAAATAGGTTAATGTACAAAATCAATACACGGCAGTAATGTATTGTAACTGTTTACAATTGAATTCTGAGTACCAATTGATGGGTTTTATCAAGCTATTTAAAAACAAATAAAAATCTTTTTTAAAATGATGTTTTGTCTGTGCTCTACAAAAGAGCTAGTTTTGGTGCTTCTCATTGCAGTTTTTCACTGTATAAATTGTACAGATGTAGTTAGAGATCTTTCTGACTATATTCAGATAGTGAGTGTTTTTTTTTCAGACATAGTTTGAGAGATGTCTGTTTACTGAAAGAAATTTAAAACCTGTCTGAGAATAAAAAGGCTAAATGCCTTATGCTTGCCTTTGGAAACTTGGTATTTGAGCTCTAGGCTAGCTTAATCATGTTAGCCACCAATATTCATTCATAGGCATTTTCTTTACATGCCTTTTTTTGTGCCACGCCTTAACAAACCAGTTACCTTGGAATTGCATTGAATGTATTTCCTAACCAACTAGCTCTAATCTTGCATCAGAGTTTCATTTTACAAGGGAAAAGGAAACCATGCTAAATATGTAGAAAGGCCACAGGAACTCTTGCATATGTCAGGATAACATTAATGGAGGTCTCTCTTCAGAGTTAGAATCACTACAGTATTAACAGATGTGTCAGACCTCTTGTTTTTGCTGAACAAAGTATTTACAGTAAAGGAGTGGAATAAACCTGTATCTTCTGCTTAATGTTGAGCATTAAAAAAAAATTAAAACCCAGAAACCCCTTACTTTTTAGATCTCTCTTCTGAAAGCTGCTATCGTGACTTTTTGATTTTTGACTCAAAAGACATAATTCACTTACAATTTCTGTTTGATCTCAGGATCCCTTGATGCCACAAGTGATACACTTTGAGAAAGTATGTTATTGTTATGTGCTGTGTTTATTCTGAAAAGAAATAGTATTGGCAACCCTGAAGAAAAGGCTGATACCTTTGGTACAAAATTAGTGTGTACTGTTTTTCTTAATGATGCATGCTGAGAGTATCTTTCCCCTCAAAACATCTTTTTTTTTTTTTTTTTTTTTTTCCCTGTTACCAAAAAAAAAAAAAGTGAATGCGAAGGAGAATTAATGTAATCATTTAATAAGGTCTGTGAAGTTTTGGCATGAGGTTAGGCATCCACAGTTAAGAAAGTGCTATCAAGAGCTCTCTGCACTTCACTGTAGATTCCTCATTGCTTCTGCAATTCACATGGTACATACTGAAGTAATAGTTTCTAACCTGCTTGGATGCCATTGATGTTCCAGCCACCCCACTGTGACACTAGTGTGACCTAGCCTTAATTACTCAAGTTGTCATCACTTTCAGATGATTTATCAATAATTTTTAATATATTTATATAAAAGGGTATGATACCTGCAGTACATGAGGATCTTCAAGGAACTTCGAATAGTTTTGCAAATAAACTCAGGAATAGACATGCTACCACGTGCATATCCAAATCTCTTTCTATTGGGATTTGAATTCAGATTCAAGTTGGGGACATATGACTTTGTCTTTGTCCATCTTGTACTATAGAGTTTTATGAGAGCAGCTAATAGGTACAGGAACAAATTTTCCTCTATGCAAATCTGAGACTGCCAGAGGGCCTTTTAGCAATTTAGACCAATCACAACATGTACCTCTTCAGTACATTTCTCAGCTCTTGCCTTTCTGGCAGATATGATAGAAAATTAAAATAAAAAAAAAACCAAAACCACCCTTGAACCAAACACAGATAACAAAGATTCTGCTGAAGATATTCACATTTCTTAAGGAGATGATTTTTTAAAAGTGGATGGAGTGCTTTACCTTTCATTAAAAAAATATTGGATGGGGGTCTTGTAATCAAGAACTATGGTGTGTTTCTAAAAATCACATAAGACTTGAGTATTAGGAAGTGCTATATCTATTTGTTATCACAAATATTTTCTGGACATGTCAAAATACTCCTTTACTTATCTTTAACCTCATAGTTCAAAGAAAAGCAAAAAAAACACCCAAACACATTTTGGAATTCTTTCAAGTATTATGCACTGTTAAAAGTATCCCTAAGGGCAAAGGACCAAAATCAACACAGAAGTTAAATGCTCACCTCTTGCTCATTGAACAAAAATGACAAGCAGGATGTTTTTGATGCTCCTTTCTTGGGGGGCTAGCGGCTGGAGCTCTTAATCACCAGCTGGAAGTTATTCACAAATGACCCTTCTCAGCTCAGTTATCCTGTCTTGCCTTGTATAATAATAATTAAAAAAAAATCTTTTCTACAGTAGAGATTCCTAAATTGCCTTTCAGATCACCGCTTTGCATTCCAAGTACTGCACACAGAAAGCAAGCATGTATGACCTGCTCCACAGTTAGAATCGTTACATTTCCCATTTCCGGTCTTTGTTCCCCCTCCTTAGATATAAAAACATTTAAGATTAGAAAACCAAAAATATTTTTAGGATACTGTATAGCACCTTTCTAAGGGCTTGCTTGTACAACTTCAGGTGTCTGTCACTTTAGGTCAGGTTTGTAGATGTTGAATTTTCTATCAGGCTGAAAATCAGGGACTACAAAAACTAGATTTGCTTGTCAAGACAGAAGGAAAATTCAAACCATTTTCAGAGTTGGACAGCCTTCTTTTATCTTCTGTTCCCTCTGGCTGCTTTCTGAGTGAGAACATCTGTACAGACTATAGCAGGTTTCAAGTCCTTCACTTTGATATACAGTGTGTGTTCCCAACAATCTGTTGTTAAAATAAAAGCTGTCTAGTGTTGTTACTGTCAAACATCATTTTCAGAGCTCTTCCTCACAGTTTCTTTCTGGTTTATAATCATTCATTCGTAGTTGATAACAGTATCTTCTGATTTCTTTCTATTTAGCTAAACTACTTACTTGCCAATGCCAGCAAGCTAGAAGTCTGTGGAGATTTTCATCACTGGATGTTTTGTTATGGTCAGTTTGTCAAGCTTCTTCACTACTTGCTCAATTTACACTGAATGCTAATATATTTTCATAAAGTGTCCATAAGGCATTGTAGCTATTCCTGAATGGATTATTTAGCAGTTTCTCTTTCCTCACATAGGAAGTGTTTTTCTGAAGGCCTCTATTGAAACCACATTGTCCAAAGGTTTGATTCTATTTTGTATATTGCTATTTTTACTATAAAAGAATGCTTTTAACAGTGAAGTACCTCTGGTAAATCTTCGTTACTCACATGTGGTTGTTAAATCCATCAGCTGATCTGCTGCACTTCTGCCTTGTATCAGATGACATACACAAGATGACCCTTCTCAACCTCACATATAAAACCTGAGAGGTAAGGAATGAACTCAGGGGGGGAAATAAAAGACCAAGGAAAAAAAGTGGTCTGAACATATTCTTGGCTTAATTTTGATAGGTCATATTGCCAGAAATGTGGAATGAGAAGAAGTAAATTACAACTTGAGACAAGAGGCAGCATAGATACGATCTGATTTTTCTCTCTAACAGGAACTCTGTCAAATAGTTCAGATTCCATGTAGGGGGTGGGGTTAAATAAGGACTGGAAATGCGCTCAGAGGAAATAAAAAAGCACAAGTATTTTACATCCGTTTTATGGAAAAGGAAAATGACACTTTTACTATTTTCCCCTGAGTTATTTCTGTTGTCCTTCCAGTCCTACATATACCTTATAATAATGCAGAACTAGAAGGTGAAGCAGCCCATTAAAAATGTGAGGAAAGCAAGCAAGGTTTGGGGTTTTTTTTTGCATTTCAGAAAGTGTAATCAATAAGAAGAGAAATCTGATAGTAGGATTTATCTGTTTAAGTAACTTAGAGTGGTTTTAGTAAAACAAATCACAGCTTCAATCCTGTAATCCAATCACAGAAGATCAGTACTGATGTCTAGCCTTGTTGACTTAATCAGAGCTCTGTAGGCATGAGGAGGTCTCTACGTGAACCAAACTACAAGGTCTGGACTTGTGTGTTTTATGGGATTATCCTTAAATTTAGGACAGGTTAAAAGTCCAGGCCTACTGACAGTATAGTCAATGTGAATCTTCCCACCAATTCAAATGGAGACAATACCATGTTCCTGAAGTGCTTTGAAATTTATTGCATACTTTCCAAATACTGTACTCCTCATAGAAAAACAATCTTAAAATAGAAGTGTATTTATTCTGAATCAAAGAATCAGCATTTAGTAACTGAGAACTATAAAAATAAAATACACAGTGTCCAAAGTTACAGCGTACTGGATGGTCTTCTAAAACAGAGAAAACTCCCAGGAATTCCATTTGTAAAGTGGTATAATATTCTACTTCATTTGAATGAATACATTTATAACAGCTTTTGCTATGAATATTTACATAGCTTTAGTCACTCTTGTTTTCTAATTTTAGATATTCTCACATGAATGGCACAAAGTAATTGTTAACAAGGTTATTCCAGCTTTTTATGCAAAGTAAGTGTAACTTTATTTTTTTTGTTTTCCTAGAGTATTAAATTTTATTTTGTTTCTCAACTACACATTGTTTACCTGTGATATGCTGGGTTTTTCATTACTTTGTTTAAATTCAGCTGCTTGATGGTGGTGCTGCAATAAAAGAAATAGAAGTTTCATATTTTTATCTACTACTAATGATCAAGAAAATATATTGGACTATCTTCTTGAAATGGTGAGTTAATGAAGTCACACCAAATTCCATTAATTAGAAAGTCCTTACAAGAAATTAAGGCTGTTAGAAGAAATGTGTATGAAAAAATATTTTCAGAGCAATTTTTCTTTTCACAGTTTAAATCACAACAAATTCTGCTTTCAAATTACTCTGACAAACATTGTTATGTTGTAATAATTTGTTATTGTACAGAAGAATCCGCAGTCAGTTTCTCCCAGTTATTCTAAGGGGTGTTGTGACTGACACACACATCAGCAGAGTAGTGATAGAGTGTCCCCTTGTAATTTCTGCTTATAGCATAAGGCACCCCAACTAATAGTACCTTCAATAATTCAGGGAGAATTTTACATGACATTTTAAAAATTTGCTGTTATTACTGTTGGCTTTATTAAAGAAGTACTACAGAAGTGTTAAATAACTGCTGACTGTTAGCAGAAGGAGAGGATAAATTATTTTAATCGGGCAGATTCCAAACTCAGAGGTGGAGTCTCCATCTAAACTTTTGCTCATGAGCTTTTTAAGGAAATTAAAAAAGAATTCCCGTTATTCAACTGATTACTGAATGTGAGTGGACATGCCTCTGTTCCAAATTGGACTGAAACCAATGCAGTATATCCACAGCAGCTTTGCAGCAGCCTTCAGAGTCTTTTGCTCATTGTACTCCCAGCATACCTCTAATCTTGTCATCTAGAGATAAAACACCATTTCATTAACATAAAATATGTAGTTTTTCTGACTGCATATATAACCATATATAAATATTTACATATAAACATACACATGCATGAATATCTTTGCTTGTTTACCTCACGAATAAATTTCTGCTTATGTGCTTTCCATAAATGGTAAAAGGTCCAGTAGCAAAGAATGGAAACACATCCCTAAGTGCTACATTAAGCATAGTAAAAAGCATACAATTTTCTGTCGAATTATTCTGGAATTAATATAGATAATCAAAAATTCCAGTGTGATAAAGATACTGCTTTACTTATTCCTGTTGCCTATGGTCAGCATTCTGGAATAACTTCATTTGGTTAGCAGTCCAGATTTCTGAGAAGACTCCTTTATCTGCATTTATCTGTCATTACTTGCAGTTTCATAATTAATAAATTATCTAATTTCTAATAGTTTCAAGACAGCTTTTTATGATTTTAGCTGAAGAATATGAAGATTTTATCTCTTTTTAACTCATAACTCATATCTCAGCTATACTAAACTAGAATGAAATACAAAAAGGGGACCTTAGTACAAATCATGCAGAAAGTCCAGACCACTTCAGGAAAAAGCAGCAGCTAGAAAAACCACTATCAGGCTACTGTTCTTCATAAAGAGTAAATCTGGAAATTCCGTAGAAGCAATCAGGACACCAAAGATTCAAATATATAACATGCCTAAAAGTACTTCACTGAAACATTTAACTTATGGAGGAGATAACCATTCTTGTCAACAAGTTAAAAAAGGTTTTCACTGTGAGAGAACGAGACATTATTAAGAATATAAATAGTACTCAGATAACAGTCTATTTATTTTGCAAATCTGATGAAGATGTTGAAAAAATGCTGTTTGTTTTAATTGTAGTTATCTGCTATCTTGTTTTTCAGGTTTGGAGTCTTCCATACATTTCGAGTTCCAGAAAAGCCTTACAGATGGGAATAAGGAACAAGGGCTTGATTTTCTTAGTCATGAGAATTCAGCTCTGCTCATTATCCATCTTCTACTTCTACTAAAATGGTTTCTCTTCTAGCAGGAATACCGGAATGCAGGCCTTACACAGGCCAGAGAGGAGAAAACATCCTTGCAGAAAAGAATTCATTTGTTCTTAGCTGGTACAATAACTAAACTAAACATCCTAGATTCTACTTTTGAAGTGTTCTCAGTCAACAGTAGATTTCAAAAACTTTTGTGTGAAAAGTCTTTGTACTGTTACTTTGTATTGTTATTTCCTAAAGATTTCAATTTTTCCTCACAAACACATAAGAAAATGGAGAAGATACTCTGTTTAAAAAATAATTTTCTTTACCCAGTGTGAAAATGTTGAGAAATACACATTTACTTGAGTAAATTATCAATTAGAATTGTGCAGTAAATATTTTAAATATGTAAATTATTTTTCTATAAAAAATGCTTTAATAGTTCTGCTGTTTTGAAAGCAAAAAATTTGCTTTCGAAATAGGTCTCCACCATCTTTGTTTAATTTTAGATATCTGGAAATTTTCTGCATCCTGCTGAATGGCACACCTGATGCAGACATCCTTAGAGGAGAGCTTGCATCTGTACAACTGAAGATTTTTGCTATTTAAAAATAAAATGAAGCTTTTAAAGATACCCATTAAAAAAAGGAAACAAAAAAATTTTAATTTAATTACTTTGTAGGACATTAGTTTTTCAAATGTACCTACTGTATTTTGTACACTAAGTCAATTTTTTTTTTTTACATTACATTGCCTGTTTTATCTGAAGCATGGCAATTTGCCAACCTTAGCTTTCAGTGATAAATTGTGCTATACAAAGCAAAAGTTTTTATATCTGAGGCCACTTCCTTCTGCTATTTTATCATCTTCCTGGTTTTGTCTGTTTTCAATAAATGCCTTTGTATTTTCACATCTTTTATATGCATGTATACACAGATCCTTTCCTCTGTATTAAAACTGATAGTTCCAAGTTGGTAAGGATAAAAAAGACAGTCTGTTGACTTCAATTTCATTGCACTAATATACTATATGGATGCTTTTATATTACAGTGTTAAAAGATCTTAACATATATTAAAAATATTTCCTGAATCTGGGAGTGGGGTGGGGAAGCAGGGGTTGATGTTTCATAACAAGGTTTTTAAATGGAAATAATCTCTGGGTACAGCTATATTTGAGTACTACAGATTGACACATGAAGGCTGGGTTCTCACAGTGAAAATGCGTTATTTTAAAGCATCTCAAATTTAAGCATACTGAAATATAAAATCTCAAAAGAAATTACAGTGGAGGCCAAACATCTCTCCTTCATCTGTCCCAAGAGGTTGAATATTTCTGCCTGAGGAGAAAAATCTAGAAAAGTCAGCAGTATGGAGAAGCCACAGATATCCCTGCACACACGGTGGAACCCAGAGAAATCTGAGTGAAGAGAGAACTGAATTAAGCATAGTCAGGGGAGAAGAACGAGATCAGAGGAAAAAAGTTGAAGTTGCAATGCAGCAAACTGGAGAAAAGCTTTTGGAACTTAGAAGAAAGAGAAGCTGTCCCTGACGTCACTGCCCATTGTAGCAGTCTGTCATTAATTCCTCTTTCCCACAAAAAACTGTTACTAAGGATGTAAGCTGCAAATCATCATGTACTAATCTTTTTATAAAGTCATTTCTGTTGTTGTTCTGTAGACCTATTGTTCTTTTATAATTGTATTAATGGACTAAAAATAACAAGGGCAATTCCATCATACATAATTTACAATTTTGTTTCTTAAAAATAATTATTTTATACTGTTCTGATTGAGATCACAGAAATCCTTTTCTGACCACAGAGGTATAAGGTACCAAATTCATCCTTCATGTAACTGCACTGAGGTAAATGGAGTTACATAAGGAATTAATTTGACCTGTCTCCTCCATTTCCTTGGAAAAATTCTTTGTTTTAGTGGCTGCCAAGTTTTAACTTTGACTCTCCCTTGCTTCACATCTTCTTGTACTGAGAGACAATTTTTCCTTCTTTAAGACTATGAAGAGAAATACAGCAGGAGAAAGACAATTAGGGTGAAGACCTGCTTTTTAAATTGAAAGTACGCTTTGATTATGGTAAGAAAATACCAAAACATTTTTGCTTTGGTATAGAAGTGTACAGGATTATTCTTACATCCATGAGGATATGAAAGGAATAGAATAGTATGTATAGCCATGAGAGGGAAAGGATTTAAGTGATGTTTTTATGCCTCAGACTCCGTGTGCTTTTTAACTGCAGCAGTTGGAATAAAGACAGACATTTCTTGGTTAGAGACAGTAAGAATTTATTATATTATATTATACATCACCTTTTAACAAAGAATCACCTCCCCTTTTCCACCTAGACTCAATGGGAGATATGTATTAAAAAACAGCCTACAAGAAAAGCTGAAGGCATACTCTCACGGGTATAAAACTGCAATTTCATGATACAATAAAATGTATCATGGATGTATTTTGGATGGCAACATGGCACAAAATTCTTTGTATAAATCCAACCCAGCAATACAAAGTTATTTAGAAAACAAAACCCTCACAAAACAAGGAGTGAACTCGTGATGATTTTACGTTAGAGTTGGTATCATCTGTCTTCCTGCTGCCTGTATAAAGCCAGGCTAAAGCTTGGTCTAAACAATGTAACTCATAGCTGGTAAATCTTGACAGCAATGCAATTATGTGGTCATATTTGATCTTGATCAATTTATTGCCATTAGATGATCTAGTACTGCACAGATCAGACATTAACAATCCCATAAGTCTGACTACAAGCACAGTCTGAGGAGGGCTGAGCATGAGGGATCAGGAAGTGAAATTGATGGGAGAGTCTGTGGTTCGGAATAATGTTAGAATTATGCAGGGATATTGTCCCCACTGATACAATAACTATCCAGCAGCCTGCCTGCTTGCTTTCCACACCATCTGTGTGTCAGTCTACCAATGCTGCAATTGTGCCAGTGCAACTGTTTGTGGGAGCAGAGTATGAACTTAATTGATGGAATAATTCTGGATAAAAATTATTAGTTTAGACAGAACTTTTAAAATCTGGATTGATTGATCCGATTTACAGCATGGCTTCACAAACAGTTGCATGAACAGCTGAGAAGGCACTAAAAGTCACAGTCATTAGTTGCCAGTTCCTGCTCCTGTCTAAATTTATGGTTCCATATTTATTAAATCCAGATTTGTGCACTGCTGACTAGCCAGCAGCAAGATTTGAGCCAGCTCATGTAGAGATATGCAATTGCATTTCAGAAGCTCACTGGTGAAGCAACAAGAGCACCTGGTACTAACCCTTCTAACACGCTATGTCATGAGCGAGTCCAGCTTGTCACTTGGCTGCCATACGTACCATGGGATGCCAGCCCTGTGACACTGTGGAGATGTTTAAGAAGGCTTCTCCAGGCAGGGAGGAGGAAGGAACTGCAGGGCCTTCCCTGTTATCAGCACTATTACAATAAATCCCTCCACTTCTGCCGTATGCATGCAGCTAGAGCACGACTCACGTACGGTCTGCAGCCCAGTGTAGGATGAATCAGGAATTTCAAATTCCCAGGCCTTGGTGAGACTGCAGAGTGGTATGTGATAATACATTTAACCATCCCAAGCTGGAGCTAGCTAGCAGAGGTGAATTCGCAGACTGCTGCTACTGCTCAGGGTGTGAACAGAGTCTGGCCTTAATCAGTGCACTCCCCTTTTGAGATTTACTTTACATCAAGCTCTTCCATTTTCCTGATAGTAAAACCCTCTCAAGCTTCATGCAAAATTCCACTCATGATCTGTTTCAGCCCATGTCCTTTGAATCTCTTTCTGTTATTTTAGGCAGAGTTTTCATGCTAGAAAGCATCCTGTTTGTGTCTAGTACTATGCATAATTAATACAGGTAGAACAAGTTCTAATGCAAAGTATATTTCAGATAATAAGCATTACAGAGTTGGTGGATCTCCACAATTTTTACTGTGTTTGGTTTTCCTCACTGGGACATTCTGGTGTCCTTTACTCCATGAGTCACCAGTGGGCCTATCAGTGTTACACAATGGAAACAAACACTGACTTCCAAAGCCAGTAATATTAGATGCTAGGAGTAGATTAAGCTCATTTAAAAGTCTTAAAAAACACCAACAACCTCAAAATATGTCAAGAATTGGAATTTTAAATAAGGTGCAAATAAAATTCAAGATATAATTTAAAAGTTCATCTGGAGAAAAACCCATGCAAAATTCTTAGGAGAGAGGCATCTTTAAATTTGGGGATTTTTTACTATTTTAAGGGAAGGAGCTCCCTATCTGTTCAAAAAAAAGAACCATCATAAAAGGTGTTTGACTTGCTAAACTTCAGCTTTGATGTTCTGCAAAGCAATAGAAAATACTTGCATGTAAATTTTTTTTTGCACTAAATGAAAGGTGCAAGCACTTCTGAGACCGTTAAGAAAACCAGCAAACAGGATTTTCTATGAATGTGTTTTTCCAGCTGAGACAAATATGATATGTGTGACAGCCTAAACATTTTAAGGAACAATAGATGGCTAAAACCCCTCAGAGGAAGTCAAAGAGTTTGCCTTAGGGGTTTAAGAATACTAGATTATTCAAGTACTGATAAATAAAACATAGGAGAAAAAAAAAGACATGATGATGGACTAAGACCTTCCTGTCTGGAAACTGTTAGGCAATGCTTCTTAAAAAATAAAAATTGTTTGATCGTCTTGATTTGAAACAGAAGTATTCTTTAATACAATAGCTGAGTATCAATGACAGTGATTCTGACTATCAACAAGATATTGTCCTGGGAAATTTAATGCTTGCACCATTTTTCTAGAATTGTCAGCATTTAAGTGAGCAAGTAGTAAAATCAAAGAATTCTAGTTTACAAAATGTTGCACAACATCTGTATTCTTTAAGATGTATCTATGTTCTTTAAGATATATCTATATTCTTTGAGAATGTACATTATTATTCTTAAGACTGTACAGATGTTTATGTCTTTAAGATTAACTGTTCCTCTCAAGGGTAACTATAAAATCCTTCTTACGAAATCTAATAGAAGTCACAACAAGCTAGACTTACAAATTAGCAATGTTTTGACTGAATGCATGAAATGAGAATACCTGCATGCAGGATGACTACCTCATTAAATAAGCTTTCAAAGATTCTTTCTTCTTTCCAGTAGTAAGGTACATTGTTCCATCTCCCCTGGCAGCTACTTTAATTCTTTCTGCATTGAGAAAAATCAGAATTCTTGTCTTTGAATATAACATTACTATCTACTTTCCAATTACTACCCATGTAATAAACATCATCATAGTTCATGCTTTTTAGAAATAAGTATACAAAATCTATCATCATAAAATCTTTACATCACTGAAACATTTCCATTACTGAAAGAAGAATCTTACCAAAGTAAGATTAAGCTTGTTTCTTTCTACAAGTAAACGGAAGATGAATTATGAGCTTTTTTAAGAATTTCCATTAACCAGTAAAGAGCAATCCAGAAAAAGGGAATCCACTCTTGCTGAGGAAAGAATGTGATAACCAACAGGGCTTTCCTACTCTTGAATTCTTTGATTATTTAAAAAAAAGAAAAAAAAAAGAGGAAGGGGTAAAGAGTAATTTTCATTCACTGCTGCTTGGAATCTGGTTCAAATTGAAATCCACAGAAATGGCTTAATATTTAATGAGCCTCTTAGACCACAAAAATGTGATGTAAGGGATTCAGTTGTCTTCACTGGCTCTCTGTGTAGGGACGAATGTCATAACAGATGTGCTCCTGACCCCTTAAAATGAAAAATGACATGATAAATGACTACTTAGTAGAAACTGAATCAGAACAGGTACTAAACTATCCAACGAGAAAAAAAGGACAAAGTGTATTACCTGAAAACTCAGCAACCAACCACATTTATCATTAAGGAATCAACCCTGCCAACAGCAGTTTTGGAGAAAGCCCAATTTTCCCCTAAAAATAATTTAAACAGAGCAACTATTAGACTATTATTTACATGAATGACAGACTATGAAGTTCTTTCAACACAGAAGGTTAGACTTGTGGATATAAAACTGGCAAAACATACTTGTGGTAAAAATAGAGCTACGACTACAGAAGGGACTGCAAGAAAGAAAAAAACAAAGATCAAGCAATCTTTAGAAAACTGTTGATTGAAACCCTTATTAACATGGAGAGAAAAATAAAATTCATATGTATTTCAAAACAGATGATCAAAGTTCCAGAAGACAAAGTAGATGTGAGAGAATTATTCACATGAGTAGGAAATAGGTTATTTGAGTGTATCCTAAAACTTGCTAAGATTGTAACCTCTCTTGCTACTCGGCATCTTTGCTGGTAAGGAACTACCTAGTATTTAATAATGGCATTGTTACTGTCAAATTACCAAAACCCACAGAGTAGTTCTGCTATGTTAGAACTACTATAGCTACAATGTAGAACTAGGACTGTAATTCTTGAGTTGATTTTGTACATTTTCAGAAAATCTATTCCTGACCTAGTTAGGTTTGTACCCAGACATGAGACTGACTTTATACACAGTAAAATGAGACAACGTAAAAGGTTTGATCTTAAAGAGTTTCTATCACACATCTCGCCTGAAGATTAAACAGCTTTGTTGAGTAAGCACCTTGTATGCAGAACTACCAGTTTTATGCCTACACCACTTGTAGGATCAGGCCCATGCAACACTAAGTCTATTTATAATAATGCTGGGTTTGTGTGGTGGGGTTTTTGGTAGTGGCAAAGGGGGCTACAGTGGTGGCCCCCTGTGAGAAGCCTCTCCAAAGCTTCCCCTGCTCGGAGTCAGACCTGCCTCTGGCCAAGGCCAAGCCAATTAGCAATGGTGGCCACACCTCTCTGATAACATATTTAAGAAGGGAAACCTGAGGGGTGGTGGGGCACTCTGAGGAGGAGTTATGAGGACACCTATGTGAACATAGGTCAGTGGAAGGAAGGGCAGGAGGTGTGCCAGAGCAGAGAGCCACCCTCTATCCCATGATGAGATGTCAGGCTCCCCTGACACCCCTGGGGATCACCGGAGGAGCAGAGACCCACCCGTGGAGGATCCCTGGGAAGAAGCAGCCCTCGTGTTTGTAGTTTGGTGCTGAGACAACTGCAGCATGTGGGGGTGACCCGTGCCAGAGCATCTCAAGAAGAATGCATCCTGTGGGGAGGACTGTCTCCCGTGAGAGGGACACCCCACGGAGCAGGGGGAAGAATGCAGAGGAGTGCTTCCCCCACCCTGGAGGAGGCACTGGCAGACTGACTGCACCCCCATCCCCTGACCCAGCACGGGAACAAAACTGGGCCTGGGAAGAAGGGAGGGGTGGAGGGAAGTGTTTTAAGATATGGTCATGCTTCTCCCTGCCCCATTCTCTCTGATAAATGGTGGTGTTAGTGTGTGAATTAAAGTGATGTTCTTGTTTTTCTTCCCTTAACAAGTCTGTCTTTAGCCTGTGACCATTTAATGGGTGAGCCACTCCTTCCCCTCCTTATCACCATTCCTGAGCCTTTTGATTAATTTTCTCCTTCCCAGCACTGGGGGGGTGGGGGAAAGGAGCGAGTGAATGGCTGCATGGTGCTCAGTTGCCCTCTGGGCCTAAACCACAACAATAATATACACAGTATGTATGAAAATTTCAAGTTTTAAGGAATATCTGCCATTATTTCAGAGACAGCCTTGAAGAAGACATCATTTCAATATTCCTTTGTACTATGTATCCTGAATAAGTTATTCTGCTAAAATAGGACTGGAAAGATATTTTCCTTGAGACATTATTAAATGACATATATTTCAAAGTTACGACAGAGTAAGCTATGTATTCAATAACGCAAAATACTGAAAATTTAACCGTTTGCTCAAGTTAATAATGAAGTTATAATAAAGAACATTTTGCTTATCTCACAAGTTTGACATTGTCTGATTTCATCATAAAGTTTATATAAAATATCTCAACTGATCACATAACTAGGACAGTCTTTTTTCATATCTCACTTGCACCACAAAATAATTTTAATTTTTGCTATTAATGTGAAGAATTAAAAACCCCAGTATTGTTTCCAGTAATTCAGCAGGAATTTTGCACTGAATGGGTGGGAGGAGGACTGTTCTCCGTGGCTCACTCTTCTCTGTTATTAGAATTAGTGATTGGGCTATCTTTTATTTTGCACTAGAATTTTCCTTATAACTAAAGTATATTAAGCTATACTCAAACATAGGAAGGAAAGAACCAAATCATACTGACAAAAACAACAAAGGAATATATTTTATATAAAGATGTAAAACACAAATTAAATGAAAGCAAACAATCTGTGATAAATTATAAAATTAGAATTTTTCTTATGAGCCAGATTCCCCTCTAATGTAAGTTAACAGTTTGCTCAGTGTGCAAAAATATTCAAAGCCCAGTATCTGCATTGACTTATTTTAAAACCATCCTGCAATTGCACTTTATAGACACACATTTCAAAATAAATCCCTTCCCAAGGTAATGCTTCTGTTTTATGTAACCAAACCCTTTTTACACACTAACTTACTAAAATTATGACAATGTTTAATCTAAAATATGAAATACACACGAGTATTTTAAAGGTTTGTATTGTTCATGATTTCTAGATGAGGTAAAATGCTTTATCACCGTCGCAGCTGCCAGAGCCAAACCTCAGCTCTCAGCAAAATGGGCTGTAATAAGCACCTATTAGCAGCGGTGTCAAGAGGTGAGCGCTCCCGACACAGCTTCCTAGACGGTGCTCTGTCCCGTGCCAGCCTGCAAGAGGAAAACGAAACCCCCAATATCTTCCTGTTGGCTGACCCTTTCCTCCCACGGCTTCCTTTCTGAGTAAAATTTTGACACCAAAGGTTTTAAAAAAATAAAGAGGGGTGGTGCCTGAGAAGGAAGGAAGGAAGGAAGAGTGGTCTGTGCCAGCACACACTCCTGCTTACCTTTACAGACTTTGGAGGCTGCCGATACCCGGACTCCCGTGGTATCTCACTGAAGATCTTTACTGAGGACTTAAGAAATCCCACAGATACTCTGACTCCTAGGGCAGTGAGCAGCCAAATCCTTTCTGTTACCAGCACAGACAATAGGCACAAACCCTGCTCTGCGTAGGGAAACCGTCCCGCTTACACACAAGGCTCTTGATGACTCCGGTGCCAGGGGAAGCAGCCAGCACCCCTCCAGCGCCGCACCGGACTCAAGAACAAGGACCAAGCAAGAATCAGCTGAAAACATGGAGCCTCGGGCTCCTTTTCGGAGACTGCAACCCACCTCATCCCCCTTCTCGACGACGTGGCTTCAAGCTAGATTGGCCCTTGCCTCCCTGTCACCTCCCGCTCGCTCTTCCCCCCTTTAGCCCTCTCCAGGAGTGGGCGGCCCTGCGGACGTTCTCTGGCTACCGCAGACCCCCAGAGGGAATCCCTGCCGACATGAAACCCGAGTGACCCGACGGCTCCCCTCAGCCCTTCCCGCCGTGGCCGTCAGGCTGCTCCCCAGCGGGTGCCCCGCACCGTGCTTGCTAATTCCAAGTATAATTACCCAGAACTCGGAAATCAAGTGGGTGTGGTGTTTGTTTTGACAACTTGAAAAAAAAATAAAATGCTGTGATGATTCAGAAAAATAACTCTTAAAGCAGTTGTCTGGAAATGTGGCCGTTTCTCAGCAGGCATTTTCTGCTCATTTTGTCAGTGATGGACTTAAAAAAAATCTGAAAAAAAAGGAAACAAAAGACAAAACAAGCCAGTCTGAAAAGTTATTATTCAAAACAGATGAACACTAATTGTAAAGAGCAGAAAACTCATTCAGCTCAAAATATGTTATTTTCGCAGTATTATGGACTTGCATCTGTACTTAAGGGAACTGAACGTGCTCATTACTGGCACTAACTTTGTGTATTATAGTACTTAATCGCATGCAAGATGTAAACTAGAAAGTGGATGTATTGCTGAATCAATCTTTCATAAGTTGTTAAGCATTTCAAACTTTGATTTTCATGGGAGGAAGAATACTCAGGACCTCGGGAGGAGAGAGTCTATATTTAGCTAAAGGCTGGTTTGTAGGTGAAGTCAGATTTTCACCTAGCATGCAAATGAAACTATTATTTTATTTATAACTTCATATGACATTAATAAGCATGTTGCTTTTTTTTGGTCAAATTACAGTATAGTTTATGTTCCTCCTTACTTGGCT